GCTAAGTTGGTTCTATGTTGTTTGTGTCTTTAGTTCGTTAAGCAAGCTGGAAAGTCAAGTATTGTTCGATTTGCTTTGTTTTCTCTCTTTGTTCAGAAAACATAGCGGGAAATCCGTGTGTTTCCTTCTTGTTCTAACTCATTCGAACAATTAGCTGGGAAGTACTTATTTGTCCATGTGTTTCTCGTTGTCTAATTAGTTGGATTTCCCAGGCTTGCTTTCCGAAATGTTGTGGTGTTTTGTTCTTTATGTTTCAAGTGTTGCTAAACTAACATGGCGGGAACATCAGCCAGGGGTGTTTTATCATCATATAAATTCTTCTAAGTTGTCCCATACAATAATTGTAGGGGTTGTGTCCAACCATTCTTTTCAAGCATCGTTCTTTTCAAAAACCGGATCGCTTTCCCTTGGCGCTCTGATGGTTTTCTGAAAAGAACGATGGTTGAAAAGAGTGTCCCCTAGAATAATTGGAAAAAAGCAAGAGCTGGATTCGAAGAACTAGGTAAAAAGAGCGTCAAACATTCCGGAAGCAAGCCTCGAAAGATCGGGTCACATTCTGGAAGCCAAGCGTGGGGAGATCAAGACGATTCAAGTCGACTTCGCTGGAGAGTCAGTGAGTCCAATGAATTAGAAAGCTAGAATTCAGCCCCTTTTTGCAGGTTTCTATTTTTCTTATCAATTGGAACAAATAGCGGGGCAATCGGTCGTTGCTTCTTGTTTGGCAATTGTTCTACGTAATGGAAAGATCAGCTGGAAGCCGAGCCCTGTTGTCTATGTGATTGATTTTCTATTTAACTGGGAAACATAGTCGGTTAACTGTTCAAATAATTAGACAAGTCCGCTGGAAAGTCAGGCATTGTGTTCTAAGTGTTCTATATTCAATAAGTGTTGAACAAATGAACAAAACAAATGTCAACATTCCAAACTTATAAACACTAGCTCCCACCATTTTTGGAAGTCAAGCATTGCAGGACTGATCAACTAGAAGATACAGCTGGAAAATCAGTCATGAATTTCTAGTTTCTGGAATTAATCAATCAGGGTTCCTTTTTTTCTACTGTTTGCGAGCTAGTTAGAACAAGTACCTGGAAACCATTCATGTGTTTTTTTGTAATCATTCTATGTTTTAAGTATGTTGTTCTAGTTGTCCTAAGCGGGACAGTCATTCAATGTGTTTTTGGCAGTTGAATAGAAACAATGGACAACTGCACGCATAGAGCCCAACTTTCCGGAAAGCAAGCCTGGCAAAATAGATTTGATCAGAACCGTAGCCAGAACGTCGAGCATTGCGTTTCTCGTGGTTGCCTTCTTGTTCCTCGAATTTTTTGCGGGCGCGCTGCCGGTGGCCGGCTTCTTGATGCCTGCGCATGGGGCCTGCCCGGCGGGGGTCAACCGGGCGATCAACCAGATCCCAGTCTGGTCAGCCGTACCCCGCTGAAGGTTAGGGGCAGTCCCAGCCAGAAATAGAGGCGGATATCCCGCCTTCTGAAAATTATTGATTTGCATGGTTCTGGGATTGCGATCATTTGAATTTCCCGAGTTTTGTATTTTATGACTCAAATGGACTTTTTCATCCGCTTGTAGGCTCTACAACAATTGCTTCTGCCTGGCATCTAAGGTGTGGCTCATGGCTCCCGAAGGATTCTCAGTGTCCTTGTGATTTCCCTCAAGCAACCCGCGCCCGAATTGAACCAGCCAACTAACGGAACGACTTGGAGCAGGTTAACAAACCTCAAAATGGAGCCCAAGTGGGTGTTTCTCAAATGTGGAGATTAAGAAAGTGTTTTTGTTTTTTCGAGACGACTAGAAATGAGGTGTCAAAAAGCCGGTGACCAACACAATTGGCATAATAGATGGGTGTGTTTTTCGCATAGGTTTTACCTCACGACCTCCCCAAAGAAGGCTTGTGCAAAGCAGAGAGTCCCCCCGTCTTTGGGGCGCCGAGGGCTACCAGCCGCCCCCCTGGTCTTTGGACCGAGAAGTGCCGGGTCTTCCGGCTCCGGCGCGGGCGCACGCGCCGGCGCCGCAGCTACCTCTGGAGTTCGAGCCAAGTCCAGAGCCCAAGGCCCAGGCGAGCGAAGGGTTCCACAAGGAAACTTCCATTTGCTTCAGGATATTTTCTTGTTCCCCTTGTTGGTTTTAAAAAGAGATGATCACTACTGGAAATATTTTTTTATGTTACTCCGTTTGGGAAATGGCGCCAAGGGAAACCCCCCATATCCCCGCTTCCTCCGTGGAAATCAACGGGTTGAAGTCTTTGTGGGTTTCTTGGTGGCTCCCAGCCATCCCCCTAGCTTTTTAGCCTTTTAGTCCCATTTGAGCCCTCGCAAAAAATGAGAAGCACATCCCCAACACTTTCTGGCTGTTCGGTTGGATGGATGATTGGACTGTATTTGTTTGGGTGAAACAGATGATTTGACTTTATATTTGTTTGGGTGAAACAGAACAGGACTTTCATCGATTTGGACTCAGAACAAGTGGTTCACTTTCTTTTTTTTCCCGGGGGGTCAACCATTGGGTTTTAAGTCGACCTTCAACATGAAGCCTGACCTTTGTCCATTGCCAGCCTTTCGACCGGGATCTTTGTCAGACGCCTGAAGATTGTGAAACGGGCGTGTCTGCCTTGAATCCCAAACCTCTCACTCCCTGCGTTCATGGACTGCATATGTTTTGGCTTGGACCAAGTCTTGGTAGTACACAAAAGCTCAGACTTGGTTTGGCCCTAGGACGTGAGCCCTAAAAAGCGAGCCCAGCATCAAGCCATGGGAATCCACTCACAAGGAGCTCCTGGGGCCAGTTCTTCCCTGTCCGGCGCAAGGCCTGTCCGCGGCCGCGGCTGGAGTGGCCCCCAGGCCTGGTGCCAGATTACGACGCCTACCTCAACGATCCCTTGCCTGCCTCTGAAGCCCGGGCCCGAGGGGAACCACATTTCTTCTAGGGATACCTAGTCAGGAGCCCCTAGTGAGATTCCGTGTCAGTGGATGTGTGCGTAAGACATTCGAATCAGCACTGTGCGGACCAGTGAAGTTTCTTGTGACAGTTTAGGGGGAGAGGTGTATCCCTTTGAAGGCAACGGGTGGTTCTAGGGGTGCCTTCCCCATTCTTTCCAGGCATCACTTCTTTCTACAACACCACCCAAAACCCTGGGGAATCACATCCGGTTTTGAAAAGAACGATGGTTGAAAAGAATGGTTGCAATCAACCCCTAGAATGCATTTCGCGACCGATGAGATTGTTACTCGCAAGCTGTGATTCATGGCTTCGTTTCTGAGCACCGGCCTGGAAGAGCCATCTCGGAAGTTGGATGGGTAGAAATCTTGAACATGGTGTTGGAGCCCATGGGCCCTGAAGAACATCCAGACATTTGGCGAAGCTATGGACTCTGGGGTTCTCCCCTCGGGCCTGGGGATGAGACCAAACGCGTCACGTGCGCTCGTGGCAATCCTCCGCTGCAGAGTGACATGAAGCACTGGTGAAGGGAAGCAAACCGCCAACAACCCCATGTAATGGCCTACCTAGACTCTTCATGATCCTTTTAAAATGGGTCCATGACCCCATTATTTTGGGTAATGACCAACCAGTTTTTAAGGGTCATGGAGACTCCAGGTAGATTTGGGAAGAAAGATGGTCGGCTTTGACCCGAGGATTTCCACGAAGTTCGGAAGGCGTGGAAGCAGCAACTGTTCAAGCCCAAGGCGCCATTGGGGGGCAGACAGATGACGCACGCAAGCGACCTCTCAAATTTGGCAAGGTGTCTACATCCCTTTCTTTTAGAACATCATACTGCCTTGAGGCTTCAATCAAGGGCCCAAATCAAAAGAACTCAGGCTAGCACAGAACTGACAAAGTCATTGAGTTTTAGAGGATGCCTCTAAATGGTGGAGCCGCCGCTCGCAGGTGGATCAGCCGTTCGACGGGGCCTGGCCGCGGATTGCACCGCTGAATGCGAGCAACCCCATCTTGGAGTTTTAATCACGTGCCCTTTGGGGGACACCCACATTTCCCACATCCACCCACACTCCCTTGAGACATGGAGTATAAGATATCCGCACATTTGTGAAGCCAAATGGATCAACTCGCGTCCATTGCGAGCTGGGAGTGTGAGGCAAGGAGCACGCAGATCTGTACAAAGTCATATTGGAGATGTCGGCTAGCCAAAGCTCGCGCGACTGGTTTCGCATGGGGGGTGGGCATGGCGGAGCAAACAGGTCCTCAAGTGCTCGCCTTTTGCTCCAGTCTCAACACGGCTATGTCGATGTGCTGAATCCAGTGGCGTCGCTTTCTATTCTCCGTCACCCGGCGAGGTTCAATACTCCGTGTGTCAGACAAATCGCCCGCTAAACAGGAGGTTTCCTCGGCGTTTTCGACCAGCATTGCCTCCAACCGCTCACACCATGGGCGCTAGCTCATACATTTGGCCGGAACATTCAGTGACATTCTTCGAGTGGGGAGGGGCACATCCAGTGTGCATATGAGTAGATCTATCACGCAAATCAGCAATGTATTTGCTCGGCTTGTTTTCCAACACGGGGCTTGGTGGATGTTCAAATGACCTGAGGACAGCCTTCCTTTCTGCTAGACCATCCAAAGTTTTGTAGCACATCCTGGGATTTTACTAGCTGAATTCAGGTGTGACTTCGTCTACCTGGAGTCTCCATGACCCTTAAAAAATGTCATGGAGTAGGTAAGATCTTCTCCTTGCCGCATTGGGTGTTTCCCAACTGTGCACCACAGACTCCCTTCCAAGAGCGACATAGTCTTCCAAAAGGGTGTGTGTGTGTGTGTTTGTACTATGTGGGAGGGTAGGCCCAGTTTGAATATCTGGTCGAACAGTTGCTTAACTCACTTCCTGATCATGAGTTCATGGAATTTAAACTTTTTGGGAAGACCATTTTAGTGGACCAGAACTTCAGTTTGGACTGTTCGGGGGCCTTTTTGCAAAGGAAGTGAGTCACCGTTGCCTGGGTCCCAACATCAAAACATCCGACTTTTCCCCGAAGGAGTCCGGCATGCCCTTGGACCTCGCATTCCTCTGGGAAGCGTCTCGGCTCCGGCGTCGCGGTCTCAGCTTACTTTTTCTTCTTTTTTAATCGGACAGGTGGGTGTCTTCTCAGCTTACATGTGTTTTCGTTTCTCGAAATCGGTGTCCTTTTGATGTCCGTTTAGAGCCCAAACATAGGCTGCGATTTGGAGAGAGCCAGGCTATTGCTATGATGCGAAGACTCCACCCCGCCGCCAAAATTGGCGAAGCTTCGTCAAACCGCATGGTGTGTTGGCGCATGTTGCGTGTTTTTCCCAAGGACCGAAGCAACGAGGGATGGACTTTCTCTCAGCCCCAGCCTAAGATGCCTTGCTCCCTGGGCGTGGGTGTCCTGTTAGGTGAGTCTGGTTAGAAATACATGGCACTGGTTTACGTTGGTTTTATATCATTTACTAGGGAAATCTATTTTAACAAAAGGACACCTATGTTCCCGGGTTCTTCAAAGCCTCTTTCTCAATTACCAGATAGCTTCCGTGGCTTCCGTCGTGGGAGGACATTAAGCTAACCCGAAGCGTTGCTGGCTGAAACCATGGGTTGGAGTCGTTTGCATTGTTTGCTTTGGGGGATGGCCAAGATGACAGAGCCAGTTCCAGGATCCTTGAATGGATCCTTTTGGATGGTTCCTTCCGAATCAGTGCGACACAGAATGTGATTTCTAGGCGTTTGCGGTGTGTAAACTCTTGCAAACACACCCCTTCATAGGCGGGTCAAGTAGCCAGGTGGCTTCGCCTGAGCGAAGACACCGTCAAGGCAGTGGATAAAACGAGGCCGCTTCTGCCTTTGAGCATCGGCGCATGGTGATTGCGGGCACCGGTAACGCTTGAAACGGCTTCAGCATTGGTTCAAGCTTTTGCTCCAGTGACTCTGCGAGTGACATTTCGGCGTTTCGGCTCAAGTCACTCAGTTTGCACCCGAGATCCAGAGGCCCGGAGGCGGTTTTCACGTCGCAAACGGCGCGAGAAACATCGGAGCCTCCGACGTTCGCACACGGCGCGTTGACAGGTGCCGACGCCGACATGGTCGTGGCTTCAAGGACGTCATCCCGGCAGTTGTTGCCGCCGGCGATTGCCTTCTGCACATACTCTACTGTGATGTGCATGCGTACATTACGCTATGTAGCATGGCTTTACAACACAAAGTGTTGCATGTTATTGCATTGCGGTAGCTTACGCTCCGTTGCGTTCCATTGCATTGTGTTGCGTTCATTTCACCGTATTGCAGTGCAGTGTAGTGCATTGAATTGATTACTTACATCACGTAGATTGGGTGACATACATAGTACACAGGACTTACATAGCATGCATAGCACACATGTCATACACAAGATACAAACATCACACTCATCACATATTTTATACTTATGACATACAACAGATACACACATCACACTTATGACATATATACTTTTCAGCACCACACAGGGTTTGATCTTTGGCCGGGGCAATACCACGTATAGCTAACTCGTGTTGCCGCCTCGTGGCAAGAGACAACGCCAGGCTGGATCCACGGGATATCCACGGGACGGTCTCCGCGGAAGGCCGAAGATCGTGCCGACGTTGGTACCGGTCGGTTCCAGGGCACAGGTTCGGTAAATACAAGGATCAGCAACAACATGCAACGAATGCTCTACCTAAATCATCTATTTCTCATATATTTAAGGGGGATTAGCAGCCAATTTCTCTCTTGCTGGGCACTCAACACCTTTCCAGGAAAGCAGCCCCCTAGGTTTCCAGTGCCGAACATATTTAGTTTGACTGGCTCACAGGCCGTGCTTGGTTCGCTTGCCATGGGAATCGTACCTTTTGGCTCTGAGACCAGCCAGCTGTTCTCACGCATCCTGGAAGGGAAAGACAACTTCAAACATGAGGATTCCGACATGGGAGTGGGCGGATTCAACGTGCTCTGGATACGGCCATCTCATAGGGAAACCATCCCCCGCCCATGATCTCTCAGACATCCCTTCTGAGTGGCTCAAGAAAATGTACCAAGATGGCCCTTTGGTACATGGAACCAAAGAGCGTAACCCTAGCTCTATACTCTTGAGCCACCCTTCTGAAAGCCTAGGGACACGGGGGTCGCTGGCTTGATTCGAGGTGGCGGCGAGTATTGCTTCGATGGCGAGTGCGGTCCTGGCCTCGTATCTGCAGAACTTTGCGGCTTTTGGAGTTGGCCTGTACAAAGTCACAAAGAACACGCCTGGATGTGCACTTTCACACCATGAAGCTAGACATATGGGTGTGGCTCAAAATGAAAGAGCCAGGGTTACGCATGTTTTAGTCTTTGGTTCCATGTACCAAGGTGCCATTTTGGTGCACTCTTGTTGAGCACATGGGTCTGTCTTTTTTCGAGGCTACCCTTTGATTCCAGGTTTTGTGATACTCAACAGTGGGAGTTGATGGGTGGGCGGGTGGTTTTCTTGGGGTCATGCCATCAGTTTGATGCCACTTTTTTCGAGGCTACCCTTTTTGGGTTGGTTTTAACGGGAACCCAAAAGGAAACCCACACCATCTCAGTTGCCCAGTGGATTATGCCCACTTTTTCCAACATTTTTTCGGAAAGGGTTCCGATTCCTAAAGTCAACCGACCAAAAAAGGATGCATCCTTGTTTTCCCATGGAAATCCACTGGGCGTCGGAGATGCAGGTTTTGTGATATCAACAGTTGGCCAAGATGTTTGACATGGTTTGAAGTGGCCGGTTGGACCAAACGTCAACCGAGATCAATTCCCCAGATGGACATTGCTCAATGTTTTGCTTCCGCAAAAGGAACAAAACGGCGAAATTGAGGCGACGGGGAAGTTTTTCCAGACACCTTAATTTTGAGCAACTCCCCATAGTATCGCTGACATCTCTTGCAACCTTTCGAGGGGGTTCCCCAGAATCAGGAACTCTAGCCCTGCTTTGTTTTTTGATTGTTTCTGTGTTTGCTTGTTTGGTCGGTCGGTTGGTTACATCAATTCCTTTTATATTAGTTTATGTGGTTGTGTTAGTTATGTATTGCTTTCTTTCTTTCTTCATTTATTTATGTCATTGTTTCTTTCTTTCATTCATTCATTCATTCATTCATTCATTCATTCATTCATTCATTCATTCATTCATTCATTCATTCATTCATTCATTCATTATGTATGTATGTATGTATTTATTTATTTATTTATGTATTTATTTATTTATTTATTTTTTGTTTGTGTTCTTTCTTTATTTATCTATTTATTTATTTATTTATTTATATATATATATATATTTATTTATCTATTTCATTCATTTCTTATTTATTTGTTTGTTTTCTTTATTTCTTTCTTTATTTATTTCTTTCTTTCTTGCTGCTGTTGGTTCTTTCTTTCTTTCTTTCTTTCTTTCTTTCTTTCTTTCATTATTTCTTTCTTTATTTCTTTCTTTCTTTCTTTCTTTCTTTCTTTCTTGCTGCTGTTGGTTCTTTCTTTCTTTCTTTCTTTCTTTCATTCTTTCATTCTTTATTTATTTCTTTCTTTATTTATTTTTTGTTTTTCTTTCTGGTATGCACATGGTGCGTTTTGGCTTGGTTTGGTTGTGTGCTTCTTCGGTTGCTTGCTTGCTTGCTTGCTTGCTTGCTTGCTTGCTTGCTTGCTTGCTTGCTTGCTTGCTTGCTTGCTTGCTTGCTTGCTTGCTTGCTCGGATTCTGTGTTTGTTGCGTTCATTTGTGTGCGTGTGTTGTTTCTTTTGCTTGCATGCTTGCTTGCTTGCTTGCGTGCGTGCGTGCGTGCGTGCGTGTGTGCGTGCGTGCGTGCGTGCGTGTTGTTTTGTATGTTGCTTTTGTGCTGTTTTGTTTGCTTAGTTGTTTGTTTGATTAATTGCTTGCTTGCTTGATTGGTTGCTTGTTTGTTTCTGTAGCCTTCCACCCGCCAATTAATTAAACCTGCCATCTCAGGGTCTGACAAAAGGCTCACGTCGTGAACCCCGCACTCAGGAGAAATGTGCTTCGACGACGACGGCAACGCGCAGAAGGTCTGGCGCGGCTCCTGAGACTAGGCGTTTCTGCAGCCCCGAAGAGTTTCAGCTCCAATTGGTGGTTTGAAGATTGCTGGTTTGGTGGTTCAGGGTTTCTCATCTCCGCACAAGAGCCCAGGGGTTTAAAATCCCCAAACCTGCCCAAACCGCAAAAAAAAGGACACTGGCATGTTGGATAGGGAAGCCACATGTCCAGCTGGGAGACCGGTGGCTCGTAACTTCGAGTGCTGAAGTGAGGTCCTACGTTGGGCCGGGTCAAGGAAGGTTCGACAAGGCCAGAGCTGCTTGAAAAAGTGGCTCAGTTTTGCCCTTAGTAAAGCCTTGGTCTTCCACCTCCCTGTCGCTCCTGCGTTTGGCGCGTACAAACCTTTTCGTTACCAAATGATCAGCGTCCAAACCTTCGTCTACATGAACATGCTTAGTAAGAGTCGCGTCATATCGGCCTGTGAGGAAAACCTTTGCGCAAGCAGCAACTTCAGCTGCGTAAGGCGCAGGCCAAATGATCACGACACAACAGCACATCATGACACGGTTAAGTCATGGCTCAAAGGAAATCAACCAACCACACCGTGAGCCCCTGGTACCGGGGTGATGGGGGAGCTGGATTCCAACTCTCCGGGCGAAAGCGAGACTTCAGAAAGTTGTTTGAGGGTACCTTTTTCACCATGATTAAAGGGAAACAAAAGCAACACATTTGTGTAGAGGGTGCCCGAATTTTGACACACACACACACTCACATTGTATGTTCCTAGTATTGTGTGTTTCTTTTGTTTCAGTTCTTTGCTATTCGGAGGGCTATTGGTTGAAGGATTTGTCTCGTGCTTTTTAATTGTTTCTCCTGCTTTGGAGAAGCATGGCTTTCTTGATTTTTGCCATTTGTTCCATTCGTTTTGTGTTGGCTTCCTTGTTTGTTTTTTGATGTTCGGCTTGTTTGGCTTTTCTGGCTTCTTTAGCTAGTGGAAAGCAGGGCGGCCAGGCCCCAGATAGCCCGGGAACGAGTGGCTAGACTGTTGCCCCTTGCGAAATGAAAAGGGTTCTGAGCTCCCATCCCTGTGTAAGGTTTGATGTTGCGTGGTGAATCATCGGGGCAATCACACAAATACGTAGTCAAGCACGTGTGAACCGACCAGAGTTCAGCAATCAGAGCGCTCCCAAACATCAACATGTTCAACAATGCGGGCAACCACCAGAGTTCTGCCATCAGCATGCTGTTGGTTTCAGAAAGACTCTGAGGGAAGCCGTTTCCCCGGTTTACTGCAAAACCAGGGGCCAATCCTCCCACAAATCTCCCATCTGACTCTTGGTAGAACCAAAGGCCCGATTTGCTGCGTTCAAAATCGGGGTGCCCCAAACTGCCAAGGGGTTTTCCTGTGGCTTCCCTTAAAGTCGCCGTGACTTCAAGGAGGAAACAGCTCCCATACGTGACCGCCGGTCAGGTAGAAAGGTACATGCCGGTGGCCGGTGGCTCTTGGACCATCAAGGAGGCCTCGGGCTTACCCGAAACCGAAGAGTTGTCTCTGGGAGCGCAAGAAGTTCCATTTGGTATCTGTTAGCTTCCCCAGAATTAGCTCCCCTCTTGTTTTTTTTTTTTTTTTCTTTTTTGGGGTTCTCTTTGTCTTCCACTAACCAGGCAAACAAGATATTTTTTGCTGGGGTTCTAATTCCAGCCTAGTTTGATTTTTCCCTGTTGGCTTCAACGGGAATCTGTCACTGGAGCTATGTTCTGATGTTTGTTTTTTCTTGGGGACTTGAGCAGGAGGGCAAGCTTGGCTCGTGAC